TAAATGTTTTAATGTATTTTTTTGCATAGCAGTTATTATTATAATCATTTCTTGCTACATATTTTTTTTAAATATATTTGTTTGCTTTATTTTATTTCTGTTTCTTCTTCGTCTTTTTTGAACTATGTTTTCACTTTTTTTTGGTTCATATTTTTTTGTTGTTAACTAACCGTTAAAGTGGTTATTTTGTTGAACTTGAAATTTATGCGCAATTCGTAAATAACACACCAATACAGTTATATCTACAACCACGCATAGGTGAAGGCATATTTATTAGCTTCTTTTTTGAATTTCAGCACAAAGCCCAATAAGATCTCATTGTTATTAACTTGCTACTAAAAAAAGAACAAAAACAACAACAACAAGAATAATTTTTTATTAACTGCTCTTTATTGTATCAAAATGTATTGAGTGGCGTTTTTCATGTGTATGTGTGCGTTTCCTTCTTTTGCTGGCTCAGAAATGCTGTTGAGTTTATTAAATCAGTTCGCTCGCTTGGCTTTTATTCAATTGTTAATTTAATTTGTTGGCGCTGTTATTGTTGTTGTCTTTTTTGTTATTATTTTTCGTCTGCGTTTTGGTTGGCTGGCGTTGGCTGTTTTAGTTTGTGCACGGCTTCGAAATACCCAAAAATCGTTTGCATTAATTGGCGAGAAGAAGAAAGGGAAATTTTTTAAAGCTATTTTATGTTTTTTTTAATATATTCTGCATATATTTTTACACATTTTATTCGACTTAATCTATTATTTTTGCAAAATTTCTGTTGCACCATTTTATGTTCGAAAATTTTATTGTATTGTTTTTACAATTTGCTATCTAGTGAGTTGACATTTGTATTCCCACGAATATGAATATACATATGTATGTATATTTGTGTTTGTGTCTTTACATTACCTACTAACAGCAAGTTGGAGCTCATTTTTAATGAATGTGTAGCTAATAAATGAATGAATCTGCTTGCGGGCGGCGCACAGCACACGTGACCTTGATAAAATAACTCTCATTTTTTTTTTGTTTTGCTTCCGACGAAAATAGCATCGCCATAATCATTGGCAAGAAATGCAGCAAGCAACGCTGTTATCAGCAATACCGTATCACATTAGTAAAAAACAAAACGAAAAAGAAAATTAAAGAAATTATCTTCGAACTATGCTTGAATATATTAATGTACAATAGACATGTGCCTGTAACTCCTGTATGGAATTCTCATTTCACAAAAAATTATAGCACAAAATTATGGGCACACAGAAATAGGTAAAGTTTAAATTCAGAAATTATAAAAAAAAAGTATAGCACAATATTATTGCAAAAAATTATGAGACAAATTATAGCAAAAAAATTATAGCAAAAAAAATTATAGCATATAGAAATAGGTCAAACCAAAACTCAGAATATGTAACAAAAAGTCGTTGGTCAAATTATAGTACAAAAATGTATTGCATAAAAAAATTATAGCAAAAATTATGGCAGAAATTATAGTAGAAACAAATATTGCATACGTATATATATTGGCCAAACCTATGTAAATACAGAAGTTATTAAAAATTATATTATATAAGCGCAAAAAAATTGTAGGAAAATTATAGCATACAGAAATAGGTCGAACCTAAATTAAAACGCCGGCTACACCGAAGCAATATTATCTTTTAGAGTTACATTGCTTTTAGCATAAAAGGGTTTAAAAATATTTTGATCGGTCAATTTGAATGGCTGCTTTATGTTATAATGGTCCGATCTGATTGTAGCGCTGCTTTAAACAATAGTCTATGCAAAATTTCGTGAAATTATCTCGTCAGATGATAAAGTTTTCCATACAAGAACTTTGTTTTGATCGATCAGTTTGTACTTTTAAGTACAATACAATGGTACGTACTTTTCTACTTCTACATAAATACATACAAATATACATATGTATATATAACTTTAAATATAGTAAAATTGATAAAGCGAAAATTTTAATAGCAAAATTTATAGAAAAATTTTATAAAAATTTGTAGAACAAATTCTAGCAAACAAAAATTAAGAAAGTTATTGTAGCAGAAATTTATAGCAAAAATTATAGCAAACAAAAATTAACAAAATAATTTTGTGAGATGAAAACTAAGGCAAAACTTATAAATAAGAGGCAAATCCGTTTTGTTTCGGTCATATAAACATGAAAAACGAGCTCAGCGACATCAAATTGATTAGACACGAATATCTTCCATTCCCTTACGCATGGTTTTAACCAAAAGCAGCGATTGTAGACGCTTTATTGTAAAATCGATTCAGCACTAGACAACAATTTTGTAATGTTAGCGGAAGTGTTGTCGTGTTTGTCGCGTCAGAAGTTATTTTCTGGCCGTGTTTTAATTTTTGTTTTTGTGAAACTTTCTTATGTGCCAGATACTGTCCACATATTTACACCTTTTGATATTGATAATAACACTTAACACTTACTGTTTTGTTATCGGAATATTCTCTGTCACTGTTTTATCTCTCTAGGTAGCGTTATCATGCCGCTTCTTCACACACACACACATAAATATTTATTTATCTTGCCATATTTACTTAAGTTTTTGTCGAAACACTCCATTTGCCTTGTTGTTATGCCGTTTTGTTACTCGCTGCTTACATTGTTGTCTATGATTTTTTGTGAAGATTTTTTGCAACAATTGTTGTTGTTTCTTCATTTTTTGCATAAGCTGTATGCGCTTCTATTTTTGTGTGTGACAGCTGTGACTACTTGTCTGTCATCGTTTTGTTAAAACGCTTTTTGCACACAGTGTTTCCTCAAAAAAATTTTTTTCTATGAGCTGCACATATACATACATATATGTACATATGTGTGTTTGTACATATTTACTTAATGCTTTGTCGTTTTTAGTGACATTTTATACTGGCTTTTTGCAAGTTGTCACTTATTTGCTAACATCTGGTGTATTCCAATAAATATAAGTAAATATTTATTTCATAAGTTAAGTTTTATGCAACCGTTAATGAGCGGTGAAGATGTCATAAGTTAGTATTTTTTATAGATTAAATTTTTTCTCATACGTTTTTAATAACTTTTTCTTAAAGAATTTATAAAGGTTATAATAGGCAAGCGCATGTAACACCTGTATGTAAGTTGGAATACACAAAAAATTATAGCATAAATTCATTGTATCAAATTAAAGCACAAAATTATGGAAAAAATTATAGAAAAAAAATATTTCATACAAAAATATAAATCACTAGTTTTGAGGAAAAACGCCGTGTTGATACCAAAAAATGACTTGATGTCTGTTACCTGGGTTCTGCAACAGGCGAAGCAATCATTCGTTAGTAGAAAATTGTATACAGGTCTTATGAGCATGCGAGACGCTAAAGCCATAGTAAACGTCGTAAAACGAGCCGGATACGAACGAAAATATCAAAAAATCCACAAAATGATTTAGGATAACGGTAAAATAAAGTTGAAGGTGAACAAGATAGCCAACGTTCTAAAAATATCAAATGAAAGGGTAGTGCATATCGTTTAGAAATATTTGAATATGCATAGGCTCTGTAAAAATTGGTATCTGTGTCTGTCAAATCACAGGCCACCAATTCACCCTCTATAAATTGGTATTAATTATGCTTTCGACTACACCATATTCTTCTGCACTGCCCTGCAGCGGGTTTTTCTTGTCCTTAGACCTCAACAGAACCCTTGCTGAAAAAAACTAGATGTAATAAAGCGATACCGAGACCTATTTTAAAACAAAATTTTAATTGTGCTAAACCAAATTCAGAAGTTGAAAGTTCATTGAATCAATTTTACTCAAAAACAAGAAAACCCGTTAACTACGGTTGCAATCTCGTAGTTTTCGATACTACCACTGGATTTTGATCGTTCCGTTTGTATGGCAGCTATATGCTATAGTAGTCTGATATCGATTATTCCGATGAATAAACAGCTTCTTAGAAGGAAAAAGACGTGTACACAATTTCAGATCGATATCTCAAAAACAGAAGGCTACCGAAATCAAGTTCTTGTTTGAAAAACTTTTTTATTTGACAAGATTTATTCACATAATTTGCAACAGATTATTATCCAAGTCAACGTTAGCATCTTCGAATATATTATTCAGATCCGACCACTGTAGAATATCGTTGCCATACAAGCTGGCCCATCAAAATGCAACTGAAAAATTTCATTAACTTATTTGATCAATCCAATATTAGCACTTTAATAGTTAAAAAATATATTATTTTTCTAACATGCTCCATTTTTTTCTCAAATAAAAAAATTTAAATAAATATTACAAAAACGTCTTCGTCATATACTTGTACAATAGATATAATTACTACTGTGTCATCTAACGCAAAGCTAAATTTCAAAACCAAAATTGTTTAGTTTAAAACAATTTTTTTTTTTACTGACAACATTCTTAACTTAATGGACTATTTAAAAATTTGCAGCTGCACATTATTGAAGTAATTAATTTTGAATTTTAACACTTCTGATATTTTTTTCTGTTATTTTCAATGGCCGAAGACTTCTTCGACGTTTCGCGCGTTGCTAAACTAATTAGTGAACTCAAAGGTGATTACAGGTAGTTGTATGAATATGAAACTCATTAAAACTTATTCCACAATCAACGATATTGTTTTAGAAACACACATACATACAGATGTATATCTGCATGTATATGGCATATGAGAAAAATGTTATTATTGTAAAAACTAATTATTCTATATTTTCCAATCACGCCGGGGAGGGTTAATCAGTAATTATCTACATACATATATGATTTTCTTATTATATAACATTAATTACTTAAATGAACTGCAGGGTGTGCCGCACAAAGCTATACAGTACGTATGTACATACATATACATTTATATATAAACATATGTATTTATGTATATAAGTAAATGCAAAATGTTTTTCTAATATATGTTTTTCTTATTGCTCTTTTATTCTTGTTTCTCCACACTATTTGTATATTTGAAACAAAAATAAAAAATAATTTTTGTTTCTTTTTTCTTTCCAGGTAATTAAGCTTTTCGAAGTGTCTCAATCGCACTGTCAGGTAAACTATGTTAGTATTTATTCATTAGTATTGGTAATGAATAATCAATTCGTTCATTTTTTTGATGTCAATATGCAGGTGTGTTTAGAAATTGTGCTGCTAAAATTATTTATAATGCTTCTATGCAGCTTTAAAGTTCAAAAAGTAGTGGACAAACGCGTCAAAATATATTGTTTTAATCAAAAAACATATTTTCAAGCTGTATCGTCGCGATTAAATGCTCAGTTTTAAGTTTTTGATCGTTCAATGTATTTTTGATTTTTAGCTTCTAAAGACTTTGTATTAAAACAGATCAAATGCAACGAAATCGCGTGACGCAACGTAAAAATGTCACGCTCCAGTTTACAGAACGACATCGTCGTAAAGGTTGAGGCAATTTGAATTAATTTTTTTTTTAGATTTTTTGGTGTCATATACGGCTAATTGAAGACCAAAAACGTTAAAAACTGATATTCGGAAAGTTAAGTAGTTGCCACCCCGTTCAAAGATTTTAAGTCAGAAAAATTCATAAGATGAAGAAACACTACAACTTTGAGAGCTTTTTACAGGCAAGGTAAATGTCAACATTTTTATAAAGAGCGTTGCCACATGTTTAAACATTCAAAATTTTGCTAACTGATCTAATTTTTATATATCCTTTCAAACAATTGTTTTATTTTTTGAATTACAATATTTTTCATATATTGTAATTTAGTTTTAGCAAATATGATATATAGTATTACATTTTTTGATAGTTTTGATCACATGATCAATGTATTAAACAAATCATCGATATATGAACATATAGAGTTTTATTTTTCTGTGCTGGGGCTGTGTATAGTATTGTATTGTTTTAACGAAGTCGCCTGGAATCGACTTTTCATTTATAGGTAATATCCAAGTGTTATACATTTTTCTCAGATTATATCGATTTTTATTTGTAATATGTTTATCGATTTTAAACTTATTTATTAATTTTTCCATAATAACTGATCGTTATATTATTATACCCTGAATAAGGTATATTATGTTTGCCACGAAGTTTGTAACATACAGAAGGGTATGTCGGAGACCCTATAAAGTATATACAATATAAAAGATCAGCGTGACGAGTTGAGCTGATTAAGCCATGTCCGGTTATCTGTTGATCTGTATCTACGGGAACTAGTCCCTCTGTTTTTAATAGATTGATCTGATATTTGCATACATACTGTTATCTTCAAGAAGCTGCTTATTTGTCCCAACCGCCGTCCAAGGCAAAGCTACAATATTTGCAGAAACTTTTCGGATTGAACCAATATATCATATAGTTGCCATAGTAACTGATCCGTCAAAATCAAGTCCTTGTATGTAAAACTTTTTTGTTTGACAAGGTATCTTCTCGAAATTTGGCAAAGATCCGAAAATTATCTGAGGCAGTGCTACAATTTCCGAACATATTGTTCATATGCTACAATGGTTCAATAGCATATAGCTGCCATACACACAGATAAAAACAAGATTTAGATCTTTTTGTACCCTTTAGCTATACAAATGCACCTGTGGAGAATATTATAGATTGGTTGCGACCGAAGTTAACATAGTTATAAAAAAACAAGTAAGGAAGGGCTAAGTTCGGATGTAACCGAACATTTTATACTCTCGCAAAGTCAAATGGTATACTCGTTTGAGATTTCTTTGTGGATTGGCTGATATTTTCGGTAGAAGCTCAACTATAGGCACTGGGGTCCACATATTTAGTACTTAGGGGTTTGAACAGTTTTGGTTCGATTTAGACAATTTTTGGTCACAAGGTGGAATACTTTTAACGTATTATTTACGCAAAGTTTTACCCCGATATAATCATTGTTACTTGATATGCATAGTGGAAAGTGAAAGAATCAGATGGAATTGAAAATGGTGTTATATGGGAAATAGGCGTGGTTGTAGTTCGAATTCGCCCATTTTCGCACTATAACATAGAAATATGAAAAGAACATTATGCACCGAACTTGGTTGAAATCGGTTGAGCATCTCCCAAGATATGGGTTTTCACCTAAAAGTGGGCGGTGTCACGCCCACTGACTAATTTTGAACGCGGTTCCTATAAAGTCATCTCATACCATCCCAGATAGAAAATTTAATGTCTCTGGCGTGTTTAATGCTTGGTTTATCGTGCTTTTAGTATTTTTTAACAGTACCGTTATATGGGGAGTGGGCGGGCTTGTCACCCGATTTCGCCCATTTTAACACCGTAAATAGAGGTGCTAAAAACATTTGCTCCCAGTGAATTTTGTTATTATAGCATTAGCTATATGTTAAAATAATTAGGGGCAGGACCACGCCCACTTCATTCAACTGAAGATGCCCCTTCCTAATGTGATCCTTTGTACCAAATAACAGTCTTGTATCTTATTGCGGAGCTTAGTTATGGCAATTTATTTGTTTTTGATTAATGGCGTTTTGTGGGCGTGGCAGTGGTCCGATTACGCCCACCTACAATACCAACCGTATAACGGTACCAAGAAAGATGTGTACCAAGTTTCATGAAGATATCTCAATTTTTACTCAAGTTACAGCTTGCACGGACGGACGGACGGACAGACAGTCACCCGGATTTCAACTCGTCTCTTCATCCTGATCATTTATATATAAATAATCCTATATATAACTCGAGTATGTATGTATATTAGTTAGCACTTTTTCTAATCGAATCTAAAATACAAAAACTCCAAAACTCAAATTTCAGTGAAAATAAATATTTAACGATTTCTTAGTGATAGCTCTTTAAAATTTAGTTTATATAATTTTTTAAACACTCAAATAAATTTAGTCACCTGTCAGTGTGCTCTACCCATCACATTACATGTGACAAACGCATTATGTAGAATTAAGCTGCCATGTTCTAAGCGGCACAAGTCATTAACCTGCGCGCTTATTTGCCAATTTACTTTGCCTAGAATAGAATATTGATTTTTTCTTTAAATACTGCAGCTTAAATTTCTAAAAACGTGTATGTGTCTATATGTATTTGTGTATATATGTACAGGTGTGTGCGCTAGCATGCATGATGGATACATTTCCGTTTGTATGTATGCATGCATGATGGATACATTTCTGTTTGTATGTATGTGTGTGTGTGATGTGTAGTATGTAGATACGTCAATTGGCTGACCCAGCTGGCGGTTGACCGATATAACGCAATTACCTATGCACTTGTCTGCATATGTGCGAAAATTCTGTAAAAAGCGCAAAAACACAAGCATATGTTTAGGCGCTTAGCGGCAAAAAACAGAAAAGACCCATGCCGGCTTTTTCTATTTATAGCGACGACTGCTAAAAACAATTGATATAGGTATGTATGAGAATAATTTGGAAGAGATAAAAAATTTTGTATAGATATATCTAATTGTGTGTTATATACTATGTATTTACTTGTATATATATATGCATGTACGTGTGTATATAATGTATTTTTATTATTTACAAAATTGCTCTACATATAGGCTCATACGCCTGAAAAAAGTATGTCAAATATATTTATGTGCATATATGTATGTATGTATGTATTCATATAGGTATATAGCTATATAACCTTCGTTATGTAGCATATAACTGCATATGTTTTCATTGATTGATTATTGAATAATAAAAATATTTTAAATAAATATGCATGTATATATAAAAAATCATACAAACATGCATACATACGTACATATATATTATACATACAAACATATTTCCGCTGGTATTTTGCTTACTCTCCGTTATTTAGTATGCACGTGCGGTATGTAGGTATGTCCATAATTTGCGGCGCATCCATTTTTTGGAACGCTTAATAATGCATATAGACGTATTAACACACATATACACACATATATGAATACAAAAGCGCTTATTATTTGCAGGTTAAGCGCATGGCTGTGCATACCTTTGTACTTGTTTGTATGAAAAGGCAACCGGCATGCGTAAATTCTGCCACTGTATGTGTAAGCGTGTATTTTATGTACCCACACACACATGCATACATACACTAACATATATTTGTTTATATTGAAAATGAAAGTTCAGCCAAAAAAAATCACTTCGAAATGCCGGCGTGTATTTATCGATTGCGCATATTAAAATGAAATGCGGAAATTCAGGCGACATATGTATATATATACACAGACATATACTCTGGAGTACATATTCAACATACAGAAATTTGTGTGCTCATTTGTCTGACAGCAATTCAAGTAGCGCGTGCGGATGGCGGGAGCCAAACGGGCATAGACTGAGTAAATATACATATGTATATACATATGTATATACAAGTATATATATTTATTAAATTTATATACTCGTATATATTTATAGCTACATATACTTATATACCTAAGTGTTTGTATGCATGTCAGAGTGCATTTGCACTTGAGTCTACACAAAATGCAGCGTTTTAGACAACTCTCCGTTTGACAGCTATTTACTAATAATATAAATATATATACATGTATAATAGAATATACATATATACATATGCATGTATATAGTGTCAGCTATAAACACGCATCGCAATCGATTGCCCGTTGTATTGACGCGTTCGGCAGTAGTTCGGAAACGTGACAGCGTTGGCACATTGAAATAATTCAATTACTAAATAGCGACGTAGGCATGCCAGCAAAACATTTTGCATACGTACATATAGGTATAAGTATGTGTATACGCAACTGTAGGCACATACATATGTACAAACAACTAGTCTTATTTACCAAAAGTCAATGTTTTCCACGTTGCTGTCTTCCGTCGCGTATGAAAGCAACACGCGCATAAACAAATAAACATGCACGCATATATAGGTATATACACGCACACCGATATATATATATATATATATATACATACATATCTAAATATTAAAGTCCAGCACGAAGCGTGCTGCTACTTAAAGTTCGCCGCCAGCAAATAGGTAAATGTCAGACACATACACAAACATACTCGTACATACACAATCATATACATACATATGTATTTATATCAATACAGTTATGTGCATTCACTTGTTGTCTATTCATCTGCCAATTGCCTGTCTGTCTGTTAGTTTTTCTATTTCTATTTATAATTTTCTCACTGCGCTTTGC